GGGGGGGTGTGCGATGAGGAATGATGAGTTCGCTTGGGTCATGAAGCTGTCAAATCTTTCATGATGGGGGACCGACTGTTTCGTGCACGGCCCAGCCAGGCCGTGCCAGCCTTGGGATTGGGACACGCTGGGTCCAGGCACGCACCATTCCACCCAACCAGCCAGATTCAGGGGTTCATGGACTTCATGGATAACAGGGCAATTCACCCCCACCCCACCATCTGCCGCGTGGCCTGGGGGTACTGCAGCACCAGGTCCAGCTCATTCGCATCCAACGTCAGCAGCTTGTCCATGACCGGCTCGGGCAGTGCGGGGTACTGCGCCGGAGATGGGCGGGGCAGGGTCCATGGTTGTTGTGGGAGTCTGCTGCACAGCAAGGGCATCAGCCCACTCCCACTGTCACGACTTCAGCATCCCGCACCTCCCCCTCAAGTCCTGCACCTCTTCCCCACTGCTGGGCACGCCTGCATGCAGCCCCCCCTGCATGCAGCCACCCCTGCACCCTCCGTCACCCAGCCAAACACGGGAGCCCTCTCCACGACGCGACCCAAGGGGCCTTGCCTGCTCAAGGATGCGCTTCTTCATCCACTCGTAGTAGTAGTAGTACTTGGGGCGCCTGCGCAGCACCTCCGGCTTGGCCTGCGTGTGCGCCGCGGACAGCAGCGCCAGCAGGCCGGCGCTCCCGCGCGCCCGCACGGCGGCCACGCACTCCTCGGGGACGCGGCGCAGGAGGCGGCGCCGTGCCGCCTCGTGCACGCTTTCTTCTTGCTGCCCTGATTCCAGGCCCCCGCCGTCCTGGCCCTCCTCAGGGCCGCCGCACACGGCCCCCTTGGCCGAGCTGCCGACGACGGCGGGCACCTCGGGGCAAGCCCCCCCCGCCCCCTCGTCGCTCCCCTCGCGCTCGTGGCCGCCCGCCCCCTCCGCGGCCAGGCAGGCCAGCAGCAGCGCCCGGACGTTGTCGCCCGTCGCCTCGTAGGCGGCGCCCAGCAGGCCCAGCGCCGCCGGCCAGAGGGAGGAACGCGCGGCGGTGAGCCAGGGCGACGCCGCGCCCCACCCCTCCTCCCCCGCGTCCCCGGCGTCGGCCTCCGGGGTCCGCTCCTCGGCGGCCGGGCCGGCGCGGGGGCCGAACACGATGGCACAGCGTGCGTCTCGCAGGGCCTGGCCGGCGTCGCCGGCCTCGAGGTAGGCGGCGCCGCGCAGGTACGACAGCTCCGCCCGCCCGGGCTGCTTGCGGCCTGCAAAGGGAAGATGGCGGTGGAGGTGTGGCTTGTGGTGGTGCTGTGCTGCCTCGATGTGCACCCAGGCAGAGGATGGGCTTGTGGGAGGCGGGCAGGTGGGGGCAGGCAAAGGGCCGAGCAGCTGAGGCAGCCTGGTGCGGGTGGAGGGGCCAGGAGGACACGAGTCGGGTGAGCATGACGAAGTTCAGACAGGCATCCACTGCGTGGGAACGACTGGAAATGGACCCATCTGCTTCCCTGCTCCCCCGCCGACGCGGCTTTCAGTTCTGCCACACACCCCACCTCGTGACCACGTCTGGCAAAGCAAGTCGGCGGCCTCGTCCGCCACGTCCCTCCTGGTCGCGAGCACTCGCTCCAGGGCGGCACGGAGCTCGCCGGGAGCGAGGCGGGCGTCGGGGGGGATGCCGGCCAGGCGCCTGCCGTCCCTGGAGGAAAAGGGGGCGGGTCCCTGCCCCGCCTCAATCCGCCCGCACCAGTAGGCGGCGTGCCAGCTGGCGGGCAGGTTCTCCAGGGTCAAGCGCAGTGCCGCCGCCAGGGCGGGCGCCGCTCCCCCGCAGGCGGCCAGGCCGGAGCGATACACGCGCACCGCCTCCACCGAGTCGCCCAGCGCTCCCAGCGCGGCCGCCTTGCGGTGGAAGGCGCGAGCGAGGAGGGCGGCAGAGCTCGGCCGGTCCCGCGTCTCCGGGGAGGCCAGGGCAGTCAGGGCACGGTTTGCAGCCGCCAGGGAGGTAGTGGCATTGCCTGGGATGGGGAGGAAATTGTGGCACTGAGACAATCTGATCTCGCTCCTGCAGGATCGTTGGTGAGCCATTGCATGGGGGCCTGCAGCACTTCGTGCAGGTACACACTCGAATCGACCAGCCACCCGTCGCCAACGTACCGTCCTTGAGAGCCGCGAGGCTCTCACCGAGTAGCCTTTTGGCAGATTCAACCTCCATTCAGTTGTGCCGGTCAGAGTGCCGAGCTCGTGCACGCTGCCCGCACCCTGGGCCGTGGTCAGAGGTCGAAAATGGCACGACTGCGGTGGCGTTGTGCAATGTGCAAGATCCGCTCGCCGGAGTACGTTTAAAAGGGATCCGGGAAGCTAGAGGATTCTTTAAGCTGGATCTGTGGGAGTCGAATGGATTTGCACCGGAGTGCGCAAGTCAACTAGCCGAGCCCAGGATGCGGTCTGCAGGGTGTGGCATGTGCGGGGCTCGACGCCACAAATGCCCAGAAGACAGCTGGAACTGGCTTGATAGACGATGCTCACTCATCAGCAGGCTCATGGCGCCACTAGGATCAGGAAGCTGCCCCTCATATTTGAGGAACTGCAAGCTGATGGTCGTCGCCTGCTGGGCATGCGGAGGCTCCGCATGAACTGTGCATTTCAGGATCACTCTTCGCGGAGCATTGTCCCTGTGGAGCAGGGAACATTGATTAGAAGAAGGTACTACAGTCTCCTGTGCCAAAGTCTTCAGGGAGTGTACAGTGCGCGAGCATTGCTGGCACCCACATCGGATGGCACACACATGGTGTGGGTCGTTCGCCCGCATCCTACGCAGCTCCACTCGTGACCCACTACGACCACAAACCCATGCATCGGTACATTTGCTCAATCACCTCAATGCAAGCTGTATTGGACGGGAGGCTGTGTGGGCTTCGTCTCCCTGCCTCAGCCCGCGCCGGTTTCGGGCGGTGAGCCCCATCATGATGGGCAGACGGTCCGCCAAAATCGCCCTCAAAAAGGGGAAGGCCGACGGCAACAAGGCCAAGCTCTACGGAAAGGTGCTTGGTGTAGAGGGTATAGTTGGGGAGCCGTTGATTCACTGCAGCGCTTGGTCATGGGCTTGCCATGATGGGTGCAACGGCGTGCAACGCCAGTAAGAATGATCTGAGCCCTTGAAGGCTCTGGTGGTTTCATTGATGCTTGTGCGAGCTGAGCAAATTCCCATGCGGCCCTCGGAATACTGAATACAGCCCCTTCCCCAACCCCCTCCTCCCTCAGCTTGGCAAACTCATCGCCCAGGCGGCACGGGCCGGGGGCCCAGACCCAGTCACCAACATGCGGCTGCGGGAGGTCTTGCACCAGGCCAAGCTCGCCTCCCTCCCAAACGACATCGTCACGCGAAACCTGGAGAAGGCAACGGACAAGTCCGCCGCGAACTTTTCGGAGGTGTGCTGGACTGACGAGGGAAGGGTGGGTGGGGATCCGGCCAGCCGTCGCTGTTGCCATGCTGTCAATACTGCTTCCTCATGTATCCTCACCCACCCACCTCATGCCCTCTGGCAGGTGGTGTATGAGTGCTATGGTCCTGGCGGCACGGGGTACGTCATCGAGTCCCTCACCGACAACACCAACCGCTCCGCTTCCACCGTCCGGGCGGCGGTGACCAAGGCGGGCGGCAAGATGGCGGACCCCGGCTCCGTGCTCTTCGCGTTTGCCCGCCAGGGAGTCATCCTCGTGGGGGGCCGGGAGGATGACATCCTGGAAGCTGCCTTGGAGGCCGGTGCCCAGGATGTGCTGCCTGGCGAGGAGGATGGGGAGTTCAAGGTGGGTGGTTCTGGGAAGATTTGATCCCTCAAGCTGTTGGGATGGGATGGAATAGTGGTGGAGGGTGGCTGGGTGCAAGGCACATGCAGCCAACGCCATGCTGCTCTGGGGCCCCCACAATGCCATGGTGCCCGGTCCTCTCAACTGTCTGTTCATTGGGATTGCTGTGCCGCCTGCCATCCCCTGCCAGCCAGCCCATGCCCAGCTCTCGTCTTCATGCTGCACAGATCCTCACCGCGCCTGCGGACTTTGCAGCGGTGTGCTCCCGCCTGGCGGAGGCGGGGATCGAGGTGGATGGCGAGGACGCGAGCCTGGCCTACCTCCCATCCGCCCCCGTCGATGTGGGCGCAGAGGCCCAGGCAGCAAACGAGGTCCTGATGGAGCGACTGCTCGCCGTGGATGACGTCGATGCCGTGTACACAAACTGTGCTGGGCTGGCATGAGGGCGGTCGAACGCGTGACGCGTGGACCACTGTCTGCGCCTCTGGCACCTGCCGTGCCTGCTCAAGTTGTGGCGCCCGTCCCGGGTAGTCATGCCACAGCATCTGTAGAATGAGAAGTATGGACAGGACAGGCAGGCCTTGCCTCTTGAGCCCAGCGCTGTAGTGGTTCTTGCACGGGAGAGCGATTGGCAATGAGGACGCATGCAGCTGGCACTCAGGCGAGGCAGACATCTATGCGTACACCTTGGTGCAAGGTACAACATTGTAAAGGGTTCACCACAACCATTCAGCTCTCTCCGCTGACAACCATGTGCAGGGCCCCAACTACATTGTGCCCCTCAAGATGCAGCCGCAGCCACAGTCTCAAAGGCCAGTCCCTCTGGGGTTTGGACCACGGCCGGCCAGTAGTCTGGTGCCTCGCTCAGGTCGTAGCCCTGCAGGGAGAAGCCGGTGTGGAGGTTGGCCTCCAGGAGGGTGAGCCCATCGGTGGCGGAGGTGAGCTCCCTGCCCCTCCAGAACAGCTGCAGCAGGTCCAGGGAGAGGCCGAAGGAGGCGGCGGCAGCCTCCCTCAGGTCGCGGATGGTCTGCTCATACTTGATCCTGAGGGCGGGGTGGCCGGGGGAGAAGGGGCGGGTGAGGGTACTCGAGGTCCGGCAGTTGCACGGGTCAAACATGGCGCACGAGGGGCGCGGGTGCACACCTGACATCGATGGTCCTGGGAGGGTATTGCTTCCCTCTCCTAACAGTGATGAAAATCTGGTTGCCTTCTTTGGAGGCTGCGAAGGGAGGTGCGTGGGAACTCCTTAGGCCGAGCCACACTGGCAAGGGCGACTGTGTGAACCCCCGCCAATCGTGCACTCACCCATGGCGTTGCTGCTGAACTCCTGATGAGAAGAAAACGCAGGATCTAAAATGGTTTGTCGAATTTCACCGGTGCGCGAGAATCTGTTAACGGCCTGCGAGCTGTGCATCTAGGCTGGCGCGCAACCGGGCAATTTGATCTGGTCGCCGCGACAGCCGCATCACTCAGTGTATGGACCCATGGCCTTGATAGCTTTAAATCAGGGTGGTATCTCGTGAAAGAATTCAGTGTGGATTGCATGTAAAGAATATTGCAGAACCAGGTCTCGAGGTGCTGACTTTATTTCTGCGGCCCATCCACAACGCTGCTGCTCTGCCCCGAGCCGGCCACCACGGGGCGAGCTGGTGCTGGACTCTTCAGCCCCGGGAAGAGAACGGACATCCAGTCCTCGGTGGCTCGGCACCAGGACATGAATGCACTGTCTGCAAAGTTGAGGTGCCGTGGCAAGGGAGTTGTAAAAGTGAGACGCCTGGAGCACCCTGGCCAGAGTCTGATTCAACACAACACAGCTTGCTCAGGACCCACCTCCCTGGGGCAGAACTCCAAACAAGAATGTCCCTTGGGTTTGGGCTCCTTCGCATCATGCGCCCCCAACACGGCATGCACGGCTCACCAAATATTGTGAGCAGGTTCACGGCCAGCAGCTGGTAGTCCACGCGGATGAACTTGAAGTTGGCCGCCTGGATGGCGGGCCAGACCGCCAGCTCAGCGGCTAGGGTGGGCACGAAGTCCACCTCCACCTTCCTGCTGAAGTCGGCCCAGCTGCCTCGCTCGCCCACGTTCATGACGCCAAAGTAGCCCAGAATGTGGAGCGGGGAGAAAATGACAGTATCCAACAGTACCTGCACTTTTGGGGTTGAGATGGAAATGTTGACATTGAGGTGGTCGCTAGCATCTGGAAAAGATGACAACATGACTTGCAAATGGCAAGGGCAGCAGACAGGGGCGGAGCATTGAGCGTAAAGTCACCCAGTCCAGCTTGTATTGCCTCGAGTCCCCTCGCCTTGAGCGCCACGAAGCGGAGGGAGCCGGGGGAATGAAACCGCGTCGCGATGGAGTCGAGCTTGTGATACCACTGATCGTGGGGAGGGGGGCAAGAAGGTGCATGAGGTCAAGCATGTCATGTCTTCTCTGCCCATGCAATCTGCCAATCTTGCCTCAGCCAGCCAGGCCCTCTCTGCTGAAGCTCATAGGAGATATCCAACAAAGTTGCAAGCCCCCCGCTCTCCTCACCACATGGCCGATTGGACCTGTAATGGATATGGATAGAAGGAATGGTGAATTCCAAATAAACTCAATCTCAATCACACCCACTGCAAAGCAAGCTGCAGGCTGAGGGTGCATGCAAGGCTCCACCCTGATTGGCTTGAGGCATGCTATAGACTGGCCCCAGGTGTGACCAACCCATCCCATGACAGCCATCCGCACTCACCCACGGCAAAAGCACCATACGCGGCAGTGATCAGTGTCCTGTGCATGTCATATCTGAGCTGCCTCTTGTCCAGTCGCTGCGCCAACGCGTCGCCAGCCGCCCTGCAGATCAATGAATGAGTGGGGTGTAGAGGCAAGGATGTCTCGCTGCTGTGCACAACTGGAGTAAGTGGTCTCATTTCATATGCACACTCTCAACTCCATAACCCTGGTCTTCACTGCCTGCTCTTGCCCCGTTGGATTGCTTTAAGAACTCCCTGCAGCGCCAAGGTCTCACCATAGAGCTCCAGTGCTGATAACCTGGGTACGCAATGGGTACCGTCGAAGGCACTGTGCATAGGCCGCGAAGCCATGTAGCAAGAGGCTTCTCACCATTTGAATGAAATTCGGACGGGTTGAGGCTGTCTGGGCGGCTGGAACTGTGGGAATTTCCGGAGAGGAGGTGGCCACCCAGCGCACGCACTTCTACACAGGCGTCTCAATGCTGACCCATGCACTCCAGAGCATGCGCATGCATTGTCATTCCCAACCTTTTCAGGTGTGTCCTGGCCGAGCGGCGTTCTCTTCCCTGCAGGCCGTGCAGAAGCCACTGTGTCCACATCCATATTCACAAGAGGGCGCTGGCGCCCCCCCGCCTTCAAAACCCTGCAGCTGATGCGGACAGACCGCTCCGAAACATCTATCCTGGCGTTGCGGACCGGCCTGGGTGTACACAATCAGACATGTAGGAAGATAAATCTGTTCCTTGGGACCAACAACGTCGTAATTGCCCAGTCTGGCAGGGCCTCGGAGGATATGGGGAACCTCCAGAGCCTGGAATCGAGTGAGAAGCATTCTCTTAGCAAGGCAGAACTCGAGCGGATGGAGCGACGGTGAGAATTGTGCTAGCAGAATTTGCAACAGGAAGCTTTCTGTACTGAGATGGGCCAGTGGAAGCAGACATCTTTTGTGAGACTTAGATGTGGCGCCAAGGCTTCCCACGTAGTATGCTGTGGAAGGGGGATTTCCTTTTATCCGTCTCCAGCACCAAGATCCACAACACCGTTTGAATCAAACGACAGGTTGAAACGGCTGGGCCGCGGGGAGACGGAGCTGGCCCTCACGGACTTCCAACTGATACCAGAGATTGCCGGCAACCCCTTCCTGGCCCGCATCTTCCAGCTTTCCGACCGCAACTGTGATGGCTACATGGATTCCCAGGACCTGAGGGAGCTCATGCTGCGCCTGACGGAGCTGAGGGACCTGGAAGCCAAGCACCGCTTTGTGTTCGGGATATACGATGCCGATGGGGACGGCTTTGTCACCGCCCAGGATCTTCACCGCCAGTTGCAGGAGACCAACACGCGAGGACTGCCGGAGGACAAGCTGTGGAAGGTCGTGGAGGCCACCATGGAGGAGTTTGACACCGATGGGGATGGCGCCCTCGGCTTTGAGGAGTTTGTCGAGCTCATCACAGCTGTGCCCTCAATGGGATGAGGAGAGGCCTTGGAGCCGGAAGGAGGAGGCTTTGCGTGTCGAGCGCCGCATTTGCGCTGGCCAAGCCACTGGCATTGCGGGACAGAACGCAAAAAGCTCATCGCTGGGAAGGTGTCACGGCCGTTGCCGACAGCGTCAGGGTCACACGAGCAAGCTGGTTTGCGGAGCACCGAGGGGTCCCTACTCCAGCAATCTATACAGAAGATGGCCTGGACTTGGGGCCACTGGAGGACACTTTCATGACAAGGACCCCTTGACAATTACAATAGTCTCCCAGCACTTCCTAATGGGCGAGTGGGGAGATTATACCATTATGTAGCATGTGCAGCTCCCTGACTTTTCACCGGCTTGACCACAGGACCCGACGTGAGGTAACTTTGATATATTGCAAGCCTTTCAACAGATACTGGAGAGGGCAGCAACGCGCATGCGCGCGCGCGCATCGGCTCAGGGTCGGGTGGTAACTCCAGTTGGGCCATTCTTTTGGGATGCGGCACCACGGTCCGTGCCTGTCGCTACCCTCTCCTCTCATATAGTCAAGGTGGCAAGGAACACATTGACACCCCTCTGTGCCGCGATCACCGACAGCCTGAGCGCAAGGCGATGGCCCAGCAACCCTTGGCCATCAGCGACACAGCGCATGGCGCAGAGATTGGTTGGAGGAGGGGTCAGGACCTCATCACGGCGCTTCCCTATGTAGATGCCCTGACTGCCGAAAGTCGCGCCGCTGTCGAGAGGCTGGTCCAGGAGGAGGTGTGTCTGGCGTGGCACGAGGAACACGGGCCTGCGTGCCTCCCTGAACGTGTTCGCGAGGACCTCCTCTCAGATATTACCATCCCTGCACCTCGCAGCTCGCTCGGAGCGACAAGACCCCCGCAGACTACTTGGCAGAGCTGCCCCGGCTCCTGGCCTCCAGGCTAGATGTAAGCTCCCACACCTCTGGCGGCATTCACACCAGTGCACGGCTGGCAGGCATGGCGCTGAATCATCCTCCACCCTTCTATGCACCCACGCAGGAGGGCTCCCTCGTCGCCCAGGAGCTGGAAAGGGTGGCTCGCGGCGAGCAGATGGCTGAAATGGACACCGTGAGGTACAACCTGGACCCCCCCTCCCCCAGCTCACGAGAGAGTGTGGATGCCTGGCAACAGGCCCTTGACAATTCCCACAGCCAGCTGGAGCATCAGTATACGAGGTGGGTCTTGGGGTGATGGCGGGTGGATGCAAGCGAATAGCAAACATGGCGCTGTCAGGCCTCCCTGCTGCCCAGCCTCCACTCTGCGACCATGTGCCCCTGCCTCGGCGCCGCAGGCTCATCAACCTGGAGCTGCTGCTCAAGTTTGGACCGGATGCTTGGCGCGTGCGGAACGAGACCCTCACGGTCCAGTGCGAGGCTCTGAAACGGCGGCTGGCGGCCGTCAAGAAGGAGACGGAGGACCTGAACCGCAGCAGGAAGCTGTCCCAGCTGGAAGCCGGGCGGCAGCTGTCCTCCCTGCAGGCCGAGTACACGCAGCTGGTTGCCAAGAACGCCGAGATCGAGGCGGCGTGCCTCACGCTGGAGAGCCAGGCCGCGGCGTTGGGTGACAAAGGGGGTGGCGACTCGGATGCCTCGATGGTGGAGGCCACTGCCTGAATTGGGGACTGGTGTGCACTGTAATGAGCGAATCACAACGGGTATCATTCAACAGAGGGTGGGAGACAACGTGCATGCGTCGAGCATACTGTTCACGGTACGGTGTATGGTCTGGGGTCCCAAAAGCTGGAGGCTCCTGCAGCCAAAACACCATTGCGCCTGGAGGCTGGGGCTTGCATTGCTTGTGCCTGGGATACACCACAAGAGTGGGTGCGTGACAAACTCCATCAGGCCGAAGGCCCAGCTCGCCATCACTTGGGTCGAGGATCGCTCCTGTCCTTGGCGCGGCGCAGGGATTCGGGCACGGGCCGCTTTCTCGATTCTGCGTCCTGTGCCTTCCTGTCAAAGTATCGCAGCTCCGCCCGCGCCTCCGCAGACTTCTCGGCCAGCTCCTTCCTGTCAGGTCTGGCGGTGCTGGCCTGCTGTGCGCGCTCCGCCTTGTCAGACACGCGTTCGCTGACCTCCAGCCCCGAGCTCAGCAGGCCCCGCAGCAGGTTGGAGCCCTGGCGGGCCAGCCAGCCGGCCGTCTCCGGGAACTCGACCTCCACAGGCTCTGTCAGCGCCAGCCGCTCAATCTGAGAGGAGAGGGATGCAACTGTTGGGAGGCTATGACGACGTTCCAGCGTCTCAAGCACCATTGCGCACCCCACAAATATCGGGGACAGTGCTTCGCCAGGTAGCCAGGTGCCACTCCTCGTCACAGCTGAGCCAGCATCCAGGCCATTCCAGCAACAACGTTTCAGGCACTCCTACCTGGACATGTGCGATGCCGGCGGCGATGGACAGGAGGACAAAGGAGTTGAGCTGCAGGCCGTTGGTCAGGTACGGCAGGGTATAGAGCGCGGCATACACATAGTAGAGGGAGCTGTATGTCTCGTCGTCCAGTCCGGCAAAGACCCAGGCCTGGCGAAGATGCGGAGCGAAGGTGGGATGTGCCGCCTGGTCATAAGGCGCTGCCTCTTCTCATGCAACCCTCGGCAACCAGCCGGTCGGCGCAGGAAGGACAGACCTAGTCCATGACACGATGTGCAAGGCATGCCATGCCACCAGCCCTCCCTCACCAGGGGGCTCAGGTAGGGGATGACGCTGAGCACGCTCATCACCCCCCACCGAATGCTGTTGGCCTCCTCCTCCTCGGTGGGCTGCAGGTACCGCCGCTCGTTGGCCTCTCGAGCCTCCCCACTCAGGATGGGCAGACTGGACAGCGCGATCCCCAGTGCGATCCCTACCCCTGTGGCATACTGGATGCCCTCGACCACGAGACTCGCGGGCACAGGCCCCGCCCTGCTCGACCGGTTCCGCGGCCGTGCCCCGATGTGATGGGGCGGTAGGGCATTGAGGACACGAGGCGCCACAAATCGCGGATGGACATGGGCATGCACCCTGGCTTGAGGCGTGGATCCCTGCATTATTGGCGCCCGTGCATGGCAGTGGGGTAAAATTCCCTCGGGCCTCCTTAGGGCGACGGAGCCGCACCTCCTGATCGAGCAGCGCTCTCGAAAGCCCTGCAACAACCAATGAATGTTGGGTTTGCTCGACCTCCCGGATGTTCTCCCGAATCTGTCGTGGGCCAAGTTGGGTCTCGCGCCTGGCGCGCCCTTATGCCGGGTGCTGAGGCGAAGCTCTCTCGTATGTTCGATTACAGGCGGGCATTCCAGCGCACGAGTAAGGTAGCCGCTGCAAGCAGGATACCAGGACAAGCAAAGAAAGAGGGGGTTTCAGGTGTGTGCGAACGGAGAGGATGAATGGTGGGGTCAAGCGTGCTGCAGTCCTGACAGCAGCACTGCCTCAAGCTCGCCACAGCAATCCCTCCCTCCATCCTCCCGCGAAGGTTTGCCAGGCTTAGCAGCAGCCTTGCTGCCGCCTGGGGGTCGCGTGCGCCTGCATGTCCACCGTTTCTGGCAGGAAGCTGGAAGGACAGGGGAAAAGGGTTGCAGGGTTGAGTATGAGGTGGGAGATGTGAGGTGTTGTGAGGTCTGGTGAGGTGGGCCGCCAGACGCATGATTCCCGCATACTGAGCGATACGATGATGGCGGAGGCGACGACATACGCACATTGGCAGAAGAACACAGGAAGCAGGTCACCGCGTCAAGCGTGTCCTCCCTTGGCGACGCCATCACACCCACCCCACCCCACACTCACATCTCCTCCTCGGTCTCGTTCTTGAGCGCGTTCCGCGCGATGGTGGCAAAGGCGGTGTCCACATTCACATCCTCCTTGGCGCTGGTCTCAAAGTAGGGGATGCCCCCCTTGGCGGCGGCCCACTGCTTGGCCCGCTTCTCGCTGACCTGGCGGGCCTTGCCGCCGTCGGCGTCGATCTTGTTGCCCAGCACCACAAAGGGGAAGGTCTCCGGGTCGGCGGGGGAGGCCTGGATCAGGAACTCATCCCTCCAATTCTCCAGGTTGTCAAAGGACTTGGAGGAGGTGACGTCGTGAACCAGCACGCAGCAGTCGGCGCCGCGGTAGAAAGCGACGCCCAGGGACTGGAAACGCTCCTGGCCTGCCGTGTCCCAGATCTTAAGTGGGGAGAGGGGATGCGGCGGTGCCGAGCGTGGGGTGCTGTTACATCGCCACAGCCTCGGAGGACAGCACGGGAGCGTCTTCCATACATCTGGAACATGATGAAGCCTCCCCGGTGCACTCATACAACCACGTGGAGGACCCCATGACCCCACCCACTCCCCTGGCGCTCCCATGCACAGACCTGCATGGTGACCAGTCTGTCATCCACTTGCACCTCCTTTGTGAGGAAGTCCGCGCCGATCGTGGCCTTGTACTGGCTGGAGAACTTCTTGTTCACATACTGCGGTGATAGTGAGACGAGGTGAGGGTGAGGCCTCATGCAGCTGGAGGGATGCCCTCTGGTCAGACATCCAGCAGAGGACAGATTCTGGGTGCAACATCGAACCTCCGGGATGCGGATGTGCGACCTTTCAGTCACATCCATCGCACCTGGTTCATGAGGCTGGTCTTTCCCACCCTGTGTCGCAGCAGAGGGAGGGAGGGGGAGGGGACACTGGGAGAGGGTGCCGGCCAGTCGCTGACGCCATTGAATCGTGCGCCTCTGCAGTGCCGACCGTCCACGCCACTCACCCGCTGTCCCCCAGAATAATGACTTTGAGAAGGGTGCGCTTCCTTGACGCCATGGCTACGGCTTCTGAGCGGTCTGCCGGGGCGCGGGTGCCCTAGTCTCGTATGGGCCTCCCTGATTTCCGCAAGGTGGGGTCGCAGACGATCCTCTCTGGCACAAAAACTAGCACAAGTATGATGGCACAGTGCGAACCTACCGTGCCCTGGTATGCGTCACCAGCGGCTGGGTGCCCAGCCGTGTTCTGGGTGCGCTCAAATTTTCCCGGCTGGAAAGCGTGCTGTTTGGGTTCCCCGATGTTGCAACAGGATGTCAAAAGCGCCCTTGTACCTGACTCCCACCCAGCTTGCTTGCGGTGATGCCGAAGCAGAGATGCTTCGTCCCAAAGACATCCGTCTTTGATAAGATCCCTCCAGGGACAGTGCATCTGACCGCTCAAAAAACGCATTCACCCAGCAGGAATGCGCAGATCGCAGGTGAGGCTACCGATGGCGCCCCTGGGCAGGCGGCCCGCCGAGACCACACCCCTTGGCGGCTCTGAGCGGCCTGCGTGTTCAAGGTCTAATCGGCGTGGTTCAGGCTGACGGGCCGCAGCCCCGGCCCGCCCTCCGGCGGCTCGGCTCGCACGGTGAAGACCCGTGTCCCGATGCGGGCGCCGCTGCGCGCGCAGACCGTGCCCTCCGTGACCACCACCCTGCCGCCCTCCAGCGCCGCCAGGCGGGACCGCGCGGCGGTGAGCCTGGCCTGTAGCGCGGCGCGGCGCAGGCCGGCGGCGCGCGCGCGGTGACGCCGCTCCGCGACCAGCCCGGCCAGTAGGTCGCCCAGCGTGCACAGCGCGGCGTCGCCCGGCAGCGCGGCCACCAGGCCCAGCGGGTCTAGGCCCAGCGCGGCCACGAGGCGCGCCGCGTCGCGGTGGCGCGTGGGCGCGCCGCCGGCCAGGACCACGCCCAGCAGGTCGGGGTGAAGGTCGCGCGGGAGGTGGCGCCGCGCGTAGGCCGCCGCGGCGGGCACATCGCGCAGCCGGACGCACAGAAGGCGCAGCGCCTCCATGTGGTTTCCGGCCTGCGGTGAGGGAGAGAGTGTGTATTGGGGGGAAGATGTGGTGGGGCATAGGGTGTGGTGAGGCATGGACAGAGGGACAAGAGAAGGTCTCCCTGCCGGCAGCCGGTACAAGCTGCATGGGACGCTGTGCGGCAGATCGAGGCCCCACAGACGAGCACTGCACCTGCTGCCGATGTCTCCCCCTCACTACTAAAAACGTGATCTCGACTCCCTTCCCCCTTCAGCGCACCAGGCGGTGCATGGCCACCTCCTCCCGGTCCAGCCCGAGGCCCTGCAGGGCATGCAGCACGCGCCGCGGGTCGCACAGCGTGGACTGGCCCAGGTGTTGACTCAGCGCGGCGGCCACCTCCTCCAGCTCCGCCTCGTCGGGCTCTCCCAGCTCTGTCCCTTCCTTTCCCGCGACGCTGCCCTCCTCGATCTCCTGGCCGTCAGCCACCGCTCCTGCTAACACCACACGGTGCCCGCCCTCTCCACCCTCCCGCCCGCCCCGCCGCAGCAGGCCCAGCAGCTCCAGGGCGAGCGCGGTGTGGACGCTTTCCTCACCTGCCGCCTCGCCCCCGCAGTGCACCAGGTGGCGCAGGAAGCGCCAGCGCACCCGCCCGCCCTCCGGCAGCGCGCCCAGCACGAGGTCCACGGGCAGCGCCCGCCGCGTCAGCAGCCGCAGCCCCGGCTCCCAGCCCCGCGCCAGGACCCAGGGCAGCGCGGCCAGGGCTGCCGCCTCGTCGCAGGCGGCGGGGTCCAGCAGCAGGTCCACGGCCGCGGCGGTGGCCCGCTCCGCGCCGGCCCCGCGCCGCGCCGCCGCGCGCTGGTACACCGCCAGCGCACGCGGCACCTCGCCGGTCGTGGCGCACAGCGTGCCCAGCGTGTCCTCCCAGCCCAGCGACAGCAGGCGCGGCTCCACCTCGGGCAGCGCGGCCGCGTTGGGCACGGCGGCGAAGGCGGCGGCCTCGTCCTCCGCGCCCAGATCCATGAGCAGGTGCAGGATCAGGGTGTCAATGCCGTCTTTGGCCTGGGCGCCCTCCATCTCCCGCGCCTGGCGCGGAAGCAGGCGTGACGGTGAATTGGAGGGTTCAGGCGCGCACGTGACCGGTGGAGAGGTGGTGGCGGCGAGACGCGTGGCACGCAGGGACACCCAATGCTCAGAACGACATGGAATACAGCATGCACAGCCAGGGGCGTGCACTGTCACCCTCGCATGATGCACCCAACTCCTGGCGCCATACCCGAAAGAAGTAGGGGACGAAGGCTTCCACGGCCTCGCGGAGCTGCTCCTGCTCCACTCCGCGCCTTGCCCGCTTGGCATCTCTACCATCCTCCAGCACCGGCAGACCCTGCCAGCCGCCGCCGGTCGCAGCAAAGGGGGAGGGCAGGCCCGCATCTGGGGGATCGGCCCCCATGACATCCCCGGGGTCTCCATGCCTGGTCGCGCGGTCCAGGGCTTCCAGCAAGGGCAGCCAGCTGGCCATGCGCTGCGGCCACAGCCTGAGCAGCTGGGCGGGCTGGAATGCGTGGCACGCCACCCGATCCAGCACTGCGAGGCCCTCGGTGAATCGGGCCCCTGGGATGTGGGAGTTGGGTTTGGTGGTATGTGCACGTGTGTGTGAGAGGAAGAGGACATTCTCAGACATGCCCTCTGCACAATGCCCCAACAATCGGGCCAGGGTGCTCCACCCATCGGCGATCATGTGAACCGTGCGACCCTACACGACAGTCCTAGCGGCATGCCCTCCCATGCACTCTAGATCCCAACCACATCAGCGCTTGCCTCTGAGCAGGGCCAGGCCGACCAAGGCCAGGCCGGCCTGGGCCCAGGCCTCGCCCCGCGCCTCGCCCCGGCTCGACAGGCGCAGCGCGGCTTCCGCCTCGCCGTGGGCCAGCGCATCCCGCACCTGGTCCCAGGCGGGGACGGGCTGCGCCAGGAAGACGGTGGCCCCGGCCGAGCGCGCCGCCGTGGACCCAGGCGCGGCGCGGGGCGCGACCAGCACCGCGCCCGCATCGTTGCAGGCCGACACGGCCTGCCCGGCCGCCGCGCCACCGGGGTCCGCGGCCGCCAGGCCCAGGGTCTGCACGCAGGCGCCGGTGTCGGCCTCCAGCACGCACAGGCGCTCCGGGGTCCAGACCAGCAGGTGCCGCCCCACGCCACTCAGCGCGCGCAGCGCGCCGTAGCCCTCCAGGCTCAACGCGTCGCCCACAGGGTGCCCTGCAGGGTTGATGCGGATGCCCGTCTCGCCCTGGGCGTTTGGAAAGGTGGGCAGGGGGACCGGGGGGGTTGGGGAGTGTTGGCTGTGAATGCTGGCTGGAGTCGAGGATTCCAATGTCGTCTGAGGTTTATTGGGGAAGAAGCAAAGGCCATGCGCAACCCCGAGCCTGAGGTGCTGCTTGGGACTCAGCTGCCAGCTGCGTCGAAGGGACTGCATGTGGGCTCCCAAGGCCACCACTCCCTTCCCCTTCCCCTCCCAACCCCCACCACCAGCAGCTCACCAGTAATACTACGGCTTGGGCCAGGGAGGGCAGCCCCACCGCTCGAGGCGGCACGTATGCCAGCTCCGGCGGCACGTCGAAAAGCTGGCGCAGGGACCCCCCCGCCAGAGGGGCTGCGAAGCAGTAGCGCATCCCGGCGGCGCACACCAGCTGCGCGCCCACCCAGGCCGGGCAGGTCGGGGAGGCGATGCCAGGCAGCTCCATCTCGGCCGCCACCTGGCCCAGCTTGCCGCTCTCGGCCGGGAAGAGGAGCAGGACGGTGAGCCTGCCGACGGTGATACAAAGCGGGGGAAGGACGATCAGAGGCATTGCATGGTGAGCGACGGGGCGCACAAAGGAGCCAGAAGAGACACCTGCCAAGAGCTGTATGCCAGGCATGTATCCTTGAAATATCCGCCAATAAATCTCTCAGCCGCCAGCCCCAAAGCCCCTCCTGCAACATCTTACACCTGCAGGAGCGTGCCCCACGAGGCCTGTGGAAGACTGCCAGGCGAGGCGCGCGGCCCGGCTCCTCGTTGGCGCAGGTGGCCAGCGCAATTCCCTTGAGTGGCAGGGGTTGGGAGCGGAGGCTCCCGGCGTCGAGCAGGGTGAGGGAGCCTCCCTCCTGCAGTGCCACCAGCCTCGAGACGGAGGAGAGGTAGTGCAGCCCCACTATCGCCTGCATGGATCGGGGTGCTGTGTGAGGGAGCAGCCGCGGCGTACATAGGCAGAGTGGATGGGGCCAGACGACACAGCTACGCGGCTTCGGCTGGGGTGAGTTGCAGCTGAGCCCTCTGGCAGACGCCAACACGTCCTGACCAAGCCCAGGGCCTTCTCTGCATGCTCGTGCGCACCTTTTTGCCCAGATGCTTCCTGGCGGCGAGGGTGAGGGAGCCTTCAGGCCCCACCCTGTGCTCTTCCAGGGAGCCGTCTTCCAGGCCCAGGCAGACCCGAGACCCGCTCGAATCCAGGGCGGCCGATCGCACGACTGGAGCTCCGGCCGGTCGATTCTGGGCGTGCCATACCCGGAACACCCACCGGCCATCCATGTGCGACCTCACCCCGGGCTGGGCATGGGCACGAGATCACTTGCGCTGGGAGGCGGTCACGGGATACCCATCGTGCCGACAAGTGGGTCTGGAGTCGACATTATATTCTCATTTTATGCAGAGATTTTCAGCCTCGTGCAAAACTTCCATGATCACCTGGACATCCTTGCGCGCGATGCGCGGTGTCCTAGCTTGACCCCTGGTGGACCCCATCAGGGGCCGCCACCAGCAGAGGACCCGTACCTTGCTCTGCCCCCTTTATCTTGACCCCTGCATCATACCCCTGCCTCACTGTCCCCTATACTTGCAGAATGGCACGAGAGGCCAGTGAAAGCTTTCTCAGTGAGATTTTCTGCGATCTGACCCTCACCTCACAGCATGCGGAAGAGTGCCCTGCAGTCCTGAGCAAGGAAGGACTTGAGCTTCCGGGCAGCCACAGCGCCCCCCATGGCCTCCGCCAGCTCGGCCTCGCTCAGCTTGGCCAGCCCCGCCAGACTCCCTCCTGCCCGCATCAGCGGCCTCAGGTTCCCCTCCGTCACGCCTGGAGGTCGTTGTGGGTTTTGGGAAGAGCGGTCGTGAACAGGGGTGGGGTGGGATGAGGGGTTGCCCGTCAAGCGGCGACTCAGTGGAAAATAACAGACTTGGCCTGCTCTTCCGCACACATTTGACACCAACAACCGCCTCCATCGCATTCCACACACGCCGTTAAACCCCTGATACCACCTCGCACATATACTACCCCTCCCCCCCCCCCCCTCCCCTACTATAACCCCCAAACCCACCTGGCAGCCTGCGGAGGACGTCCATGGCCGGGCGGTTGACCAGGGTCTCTCGATCAGCCATGGCGCCCTCCCCCGCCTCCAAGGGCACGCCTGCCGTGGCGGCGGCCACCGGGTCTGGCTCCTCCTGGTTGGCCTTCAGCGCGGCAAAGGTCGCGGCGGTGGCATGCAGGGAGCGCGACCAGACCAGGCGCAGGCGCGGGTGGTGCAGCGTGAGCAGCACCAAGCGCGCCATGAGGCTGTGCAGGCGCGGCTCGTCCCCGACCTCCCCCGCGGCCTGCAGGGCAAAGGCGCGGTCGCCCTCAAACTCAATCAGCAGGACGGGGGTGGCGTAGTGCCGCGCCATGGCCTCCGCCTGCGCAAAGAGGCGGCCGGAGGCGAGCGAGGCGCGGAGGTCGGGGATGGCCTTGCGCTCCACGCAGCAGGAGGCGCTGAGCACGTAGTCGCCCACCTCCAGGGTGAGGGGAACCAGGTCGCAACCCGCCGCATGCAGGACCGCGGGGAGGGGTGACATGAACTCGCGCACATCGACGACGACGCGCCGTCGGGCGGGGCGGGCGGCGGCGCCGGTGGACGCCCGCCCGCCCGCCGTGCGCGTCGCGGCGTTGCCCGGCGCCAAGAGCGGGGCAGGCTCGGCGATGGGCCTGCCGGCGGCGTCCAGCGCCGCGGCGGCGTCGTGTGCCGTCGTGGGCAGGCTCATCACCTCCTTGGACCGGATCAGGGACTCAAAGGCGCGGCGCTCTCGCTCCAGGCCGGCCTGAAAGCGGTCCATCTCCACGCTCTCCTCGTAGCGCAACACGAAGACGTGCAGCGGCGGCGCCCCGGCCCTGAGGGAGATGATGTGACTTGTGTTTCGGGGTCAGTGAAGGTGCGGGGAGGGGAAGCATCAGCGCTCGCCCTAGGAAGAGCAGCGGCTTCCAAATAAAGACGGAGGCGATCATGTGCATTTCCAAATTAATGCAGACTCAGCCGCCGAGCAGCGGCATTGCCCCCTTCAGCACCTCGTCTGCATGGCGTTGTACAGCTCCAGCTGCCGCGTCAGCACGACGTCCGGGTCATACATGATGACGCTGCCGGGCGCGCGCTCCCAGACCAGGCGCTCGTCGTGCTCCTCCAAGACCAGGAAATCCACCCTGCCCCGCGCGCCCGGCGGGAAGCCGGGCAGGTCGGCCAGCGCCGCGCCTGAGACCACGCCCTCCCCTGACGCGCGCGGCTGGCGCTCGCTCTCAGTCCCTGGTGGGACGGCGTCCTCATCCTCGTCGCCGCCAGCCGCCTCCAGGCTCTCGGGTCCGGCCTCCGCCACATCAAACGACCCCCGCGTCACTCGCACCGCCAGGCTGCGGGCCAGGTTCTCGGGGGCGCGGGCGCCCCTCCTCTCGAGCTCCCCCTTGCCTCGCCGTTTCGACGGATTCTGGCCTGTGGCGGCCGGGTCGACGCCCGCCCCGTGCTTGGCCGCCGCCGCCAGCGCGGCAGCCTCGCCGGCGGGCATGCCGCCCATCATGCGCGCCGAGCCCATGTTCGACCCCGGGTCGGGGCGGCCGCCATGCTGGTCCTGGGCCGGGCGGCCGGAGGCCGCCCTCTGCGCCAGATACTCCCGCCACATGTGCTGCATGTGCGCGTCGGCACCCCGCGTCAGCACCTCCCGCAGCTGCGCGAGGGAGGGGGAGGAGGAAGCGAGGGACTCGACGCATGGTGGAGATGAGTAGGTTGAGGGCTGTGGCATGAGCAAGGATGCGCTGTCAGGGCTGCTGTGGTCGGCAAGACGCAGCCTTGTGATGCACATGTCCATGTACAGTGGCAGACAGGGCCGAAAGCTTGCGGCTCAGTTCAAGTCAGGATTCTCACACCAGCATCCCACAATGCCACCAACTGGAAATACCTGTGACGCGGTGAAGGCGTCCTGGCAGGCCACCAAGACGGTGGGGCCCGCTGCGCCGTCCAGGCTCGACGTGTTGCCAGTCCCGGCCGCATCTTCCCTTCCCACTTCCCCGCCTTCCGCCGCCCCCTCCTGTGCCGCCTCCAGCAGGAGATCCAGGAGCAGGGCCCACTTGGGTTGTGGCTCAAGCACCGGGGTCACGGTGACGGTGGCCGGCCGAGAGCCCGGGGCCTGGCCGGCATCCGAACCGCGCTTGGCGGGAGTCAGGCCCCGCGCCACGCTGTAGACGCGCGACTTTGCCACCTCGAAGATTGTGTGCGCCGCTGCGACGAGGAGAGCGAGGAACGGAAGGAGGCATCACGGTGAGTGGCGGCCGGCCATGGAAGGTACTGCGGACCCACATGGCCTGAAGCAAGTCTTCCAGGTGGGGTGAGAATGCAGCGTTGCTTGTGTGCGCTGGGAGGCACCACGTGCATTGCCCACCCTGCCATGCAATACTGTGGAGCGCTGACACGGCCGTGCAGGCAGCCCCTCCCCCTTGCGTCACCTGAATGGAAGAGCCACACGGAGTTGGTCCCCTCCGTCGCCCTCAAGGTCTCCAGGTAGGAGAAGAAGGTGACGGCGTCGAAGCGTAGGAGGTACGTGGCCAGGGTGCGGAGCGTGCGGAGATCAGCCACGATCTGGGGGGGGGGGGGGATGGAAAGTGTGGAGGCTGCTGGGGGGGTGAGGCAGATCAAACCACCTCACTGAACACTGCAAGAAACAGAGTTCCTGATGCAGTAACCCATACTGGGCCTGCTGCCGCCCCACCCACCTGCTTGGTGCGAGGCCCCACAGTGTGCCAGATGGGGTTGAGCTGGCGCCGAATGATGTCGTCAAAGGACCGGAACAGGCCCTGGCGAGGGGTTGGTGGAAGGGATGCCGAGGTTACTGGGAATGAAACTGGCTCCCCTTGCCGCTTGGAACCCCCTTTGTCGAGGGGAGCCTTCCCACACTCCTTCAGGAGCCTTGCCAGACCAGTGCAACGGGTCCAGCCGTCGTCAAAGCAGCTTGGATCATGAGACTCCTGTCCTCCGACGGAAACCGCACCCCAGGCTCCCAGGCAGTCGCGGAAGCCAGCGTGTCCCCACAAGCAGGGAAGAAAGGAAACTCCCCCTCACCTGCTCCAGGGTCAGGTCGGTGGCATCGATCTTGTTGGACTTGCGAACCTCCTTGACGCAGGCATCCATCAGCTGGGCCAGGGCATCATACATGGCCGCCATGCCCACCGTCAGTCCCTGGGACACCTCTGTCACCTGTAATGGGGATTGGAATGGGTGGGAGAGTCTGGCTGCACAGGTTGGCAAGATGCTTCTAGGTTGGTCACAGCCGGAACCCTCGTGGACTCGGGCAGTGTGCGCGCCACACCCATCATCCCACCCCTCCAAGCCTCCCAAGTGACCCCGCCCCTCACCTCTGGCGGCGCCGTCTCCAGGTCTGCCCTGACCTGGGACTGGAACCTGGGCCAGAGGTGGACGCGGCGCACAAAGAGGGCCTTGAGCACCTTCTCCGCGCGGTTGAAGTCGGCGGCCAGGGCCGGCGCCGCGTCGGTCAACCCGCGCACGCTGCCGGCGCGGTTGGTGGCGCGGAAGAGCCGCGCGGCGAAGGCCTCGCCGCAGGCGTCGCTGACGCGGTGGGCGTTGAGGATCAGCAGGCCCGCCAGGTCCCGGCCCGCCAGCCGCCCGCCCAGGAAGTCCACCACCAGGATGCGGGTGGTGACAAAGAGGCATGGCGCGGCGGCGTACAGCACGCCGCGCTCGGCGGCGGGCACCTGCGCCGTGATCTCGGGGACCGTGGGCGAGGGGACGGCGCCGGCGGCGACGCCAGCCGCGACTTCACACTCCTGGCGCGCCACCTCGTGCCGGATGCCCTCCCGCTGCCACTGGGTGGCGCCCAGGACGAGCAGGGCCCCTGTCTGGGTGGGGTCAGTGGCGCGGCGAGCGTGCTGCAGCCGGATAAGTGCCGCGGCGATCTGCGGAGTGGGTGGGTCGGGAGAAAGGGTGATTGGCGCCTTTCATTACCCAGCCCTGCGCGGCTGCCTGTGCGGGGTGCGGGAGACCCCGGCATCCCACGTTGGGCCCCTCCATGCACCCTCCCGCCCCTGGGGCATCGGACCTGCGCCAGCCCCAGCCCGGAGGCCAGGACAGCCACTCCATCCTCCTGGACCAGATCATCGAGGAGAGCGAGCTGGAAGGGGAGGAGGGGGATGTCGCATGGGAGTGGGGCCTCCGGTGCGGAAAGGAGCACCGGGTCGGCCATGATGCATGGGGCCCCAGTCCCCGATCCCGAGTGATCAAGAGGGTGAGAGCATCTCTGGCAGTGTAACTCTATTTCCAAGGCTGCGCAACATGCAGTAAGGTATCTCATGTACTGATTTCCGAGCAGCTGGGTTTCGTGCTACGACACTTCGCGCCCTGCCTTCCGGCGTACACATGCTTGGCCTGCCGGACGGCGTGTCCGCCCCTCCCAAATTTCAGAGAGCTCCATGTGCAACCCATTGGCCTGAACTGCGAGGTTTGTTCATCACATGCACGGTTGCTCCTGGGTCGGCTGGTGATCAGAGGCCTGTCACGTCGTGTTACGGAGTCGCCTCGCTCCCCGCATGTCCTCATGAAGGCGCCTGGCCCTGAGAACGGCGCGGCCCTGTTGAACGAATCGAGTGTGCTGGGTGCGGAATGAGGCGGAGAGCAGGGTGCCTCCTGCGACCGGCCGTGAGGCTGCTCTCCGCAAAGCCCTCACTCCAGACCGAGACCCTCGCCCTGCCCGCCGTGCATGACCGGTCCTGGACCTGGGAGCCGCCCGCCTGGGCCCCGAGTCGCACGCCTCGGGAAGGACTGACACCCTTCCTCGCCCTGCCCTTCGGTGTCGGCGCCCTGCCCATCACTGGCTCCGCCTGGCAGCCAGACCATGCGGCCAAGGAAAGCGGGGCGAAGGCTGACTGTCGATCCTGGGAGGCGGGTTCCGCCACGCGAAGTCAGGAGCCAAGTGGCGAGGAGCATCGCCTGCGGCAGGGGCCTGACGGGCCAGGTGAGGCCACGGCCGTCACCCCACCCCAGCCAGCGGCGACGTGGGTGGACAGGGCCCCTCCCTCCCTCCAGCCCTACCTCCACCTCATCCGCATCGACAAACCAATAGGTAGGCAAGCATGTTGATGATTCAGCGGGGATGCATGTGTGTGTCTCTGTGCGTTTATTTTCCCAAAGGGGGGTCTCTTTCAGATTCCCTGCCACTGTCACGACCTCCAAGCTGCCAGCTTGCTGCCCGGAAACACACAGACTCCCTGCTCGACAATTCCCCCTTCCTTCCAGGGACCTGGCTGCTGGCCTGGCCCTGCTTCTGGTCCATAGCGCTGGCGGCGCCCCCCGGCGCCGCCCCCGATCTCCGGATGCTGGCCCTGTTTGGGACGGGGGCCGTCCTCCTGCGCGGTGCCGGCTGCACCATCAACGACCTGTGGGACCGCGACCTGGACGGCCAAGTCGCACGCACGCGGCGCCGGCCGCTGGCGGCGGGGCTCCTCACCCCGCGCCAGGCCGTGGCTTTCCTGGGCCTGCAGCTGTCGGCGGGGCTGGCCATCCTGCTGCAGCTCAACACATACAGCCGGGTGCTGGGCGCGTCCTCGCTCTCCCTCGTCGTCGTATACCCACTCATGAAGCGGGTGTTTGGCTGGCCGCAGGTGGGGACATTCATGGGTTGTGCTCTGCACGAGCGGCTCATGGCCGCTTGCGAGTGGAAGGCAGGCTGAGCCTGAGGCATTTATGTGCCTGATGCGGGTGAGCCCGACCGCCAACCACGGACGTACCCGCCACCTCATACATGAGGACACCTCTTCTCCCTGCCAATGCACTGCCGCTTTCTATGACGCATGACCTCCTGGCTCTGGTCTGCCTCTCCCAAAGCTGCCGCATCAAGCAGCCTCCAATCTTATTCACCCCCGACCTTCCCACCAGACCCACCCCTGCCTCCCGCCCAACAGTTGGTTCTGGGCATGGCCTTCAACTGGGGAGCCTTGCTGGGGTGGGCAGCGATCCACGGAGCATGCGATTGGTCAGTGGTCCTGCCGCTGTACGGGGCTGGCATCCTGTGGACCCTGGTGTACGACACCATTTATGCGCACCAGGTGTGCAATAGGTTGCGGAAGAGGGTTTGGAAGGGAGGGTGTGGCGCGTTAGTGTTGGTCATTGATACACAGGATTGCGTCAGCAAAGGCCATTACCCTAGTTTGGTGGTATCCCTGCAGACCAAAGCCTGATTGCTCGGCTCGATGACCCACAAGGACATCATCAAGATCTTCCCTGAATGTGTACCTCCAGTACCTGTCCAGGAAGCAGGCTTGTCAGCAATGCAGCCTGCTCCCTGACAGTCACCAGATCCTCGGACCCCCCTCACCCCTCCTCATCAGGACCAGGAGGACGATGCCAAGATTGGCATCAGGTCCACCGCCCTGACCCTGGGAAGACACAGCAGGGCAGCAATGTGGAGCTTTGCGGCCGGCACAGTGGGACTGCTGGGGTTCACGGGCTTCCAGGCCGGGTGTGGCGTCCCCTACTTCCTTGGGGTGGCCTCTGCCGGGGTTCACCTGGCCTGGCAGCTGGGCACAGTGAATCTGGACGACCGAGCGGACTGTGGCGCCAAATTTGACAGCAACAAGTGGGTCGGGGCCGCGGTATTTGCCGGCACGGTGGCGGACAGGGTGCTGGGGTAGCCGTCCCGGGACCGGCCGATGCATGGAGGTCGGCTTCGCGGATGAATGCCGTGGTCTGGGCGTGACGGCCCCGCGCCGAAGACTCACCTCCATGCTCCCTCTGTGCACAGCGTCACAACCCCACACTGCCGTGCTGACGGCTGAATACGGAGTCGCCGCTGGTTCATGACACGTGCTAATGCTGTAATCCAACACCAACTCTTCTCGGGAGGGTAATGGGTTCGTACCCTCAGGGAAGTACGTACGAAGACACCGCTGTGTGGAAAGGATTGTTCCGGGTGTTATCAGCGCTAGGTCTGCGTGAACCTGTTATTAAATACTGTCCACGGGTCAGAAACTCGCCAAAGAGCATCTTCTCACTCGCGTCTGCACCTCCCGGCCTTGCACGTAGACGCACAGCACAGATTCTCGACACACCCCACCAGCTTCCTTAACCACAGCAGACCGTCGCGCACAACAGCTCGACCCCATTATCATGATGAAATTCGTCCAAAACCACAGGGGAGGGGTTGTAGACCGCCGCGATCCCCAGGGGACGCGCGCGCGGATCCCAAATGCCCCCGGACATTGCGGCTGCCCGACGAAAGCCCCCACCCATGGCTTCGCACGGGGTCAACCCTGCGCACAAAGCGGTCAAAGGGTGCTTCTTCCCCCTGCGACCGCCGTGGCCGGTCCCATTTTGGAGAAGGGCATCCGCAATCTGTCCCGAGTGCTGGAGGGCTCGACCCTATCCCCGGCACATGGCGCCCCACACATCGATGAATTGGCCAAGTTTCCCAGCCAAGTGCGCCCCTATGCGGCCCTGGCTCGCCTCGACAAGCCCATTGGTGAGCCCGGGTGGGCTGCGTGCCAAGATGGATTGTTTGTCCCGGGTCCGCGTGCCCTTCACTTGCGACATGACGCCATGGCTTCCCGCAGGTACCTGGCTCCTCCTCTGGCCCTGCTTCTGGTCCATCGCTTTGGCTGCGCCGGCCGGGAGTCTCCCCGATGTGGGTCTCCTCATTTCTTTTGGCATCGGAGCCACCGTATTGCGTGGCGCGGGCTGCACTATCAACGATCTGTGCGACCGGGACCTGGACGGCAGCGTCGAGCGGACCCGATCCCGGCCGCTGGCGGCGGGTGATGTCAGCGTCGCACAAGCCATCGGTGAGGCAGCGGAAAAGTTGGAAGGGTTTGTATTTGCCCCCTGCCCCGGTATGCGACCGCGCACATGCTCGCCATTCTGCACGATTGGCCGCCGAGCCGGTCCGAGGATTTCCAGACAGGCACACCTTCTCTGGCCACCCTTCTCCCCGCCTCAGCCTTCCTGGCGCTGCAAACCGCCGTCGGCGTTGGATGGATGGCCAGCCTGAACCCCTCCGCCCTCCAGCTGGGACTGTCGTCCCTGGGCCTGGTGGCGGCCTACCCCCTCATGAAGCGCATCACCGACTGGCCCCAGGTGAGCGGGGGGAGTGTGTCCCTCTGGAAGCTTGGAGCCCTGGGCAGTGCTGTCCCTGACTCTTGACACCGCATGGCAGGGGTGGGGTTACCCCTCGCATGCATGCAGGTGAAGCGGTGCTGGCCTCTGTCCCCCCTGGGCGCTTGCATCGCCGCACCCACCCACCACCCATCCCCCCTCCATGATCAGCTCTTCCTTGGCTTCACCTTCAATTGGGGAGCCATGATGGGCTGGGCGGCGGTGCACGGGGACTGTGACTGGAATGTGGTGGGACCCCTGTATGTTGCAGGCATCTTCTGGACCCTGGTGTACGACACCATCTATGCCAACCAGGTGCGTCGTTATTGCTGGACCCATGGGAGCCCTGGTTTCTTGCTTGGAGAAATGTGCTCTCAGTGCCTGCACTGTTGGGACCAGCTTCCATGCGAGGGTTGCAGTGGCATCCTGCCGTGTCAACACCTGCCTTGCCTTCCATTCCGCTTGCCAGCGGGTTATGTCCACTGCGTCATGACGAAGCATCACACCTGCAACCCACCTGGCCAGCCTCCACACACACACCGACCCTCCCCCCACCGCTGCTGCAGGACAAGGAGGACGACCGCGAGATCGGGGTGCGTTCCTCCGCCCTGGCTCTGGGTTCGGCCAACCGAGCTGCCATGTCGGCCTTTGCTGCCGCCTCGGTGGCCGGGCTGGCCGCCACCGGGGTGATGGCGGGGTGCAGCGGCCCCTACTTTGGCGGGGTGGCCGCCGCCGGCGCGCACCTGGCCTGGCAGCTGGGCACCGTCGACTTGGGCGACCGCGCCGACTGCGGCGACAAGTTCCGCAGCAACACCTGGGTCGGCGCCGCGGTGTTCGCGGGTATCGTCCTGGACCGCCTCGCCATCTTCTGACCATCTTCTGAATCATCTCGGGCGCCCGCGGCGGCGTGCGGCCGTGCGGCGCAGCGCAGAATGCCGTTCCCTTGGATGCACGAGTTCACAGCAAATTCCCTCGCCGCAAACACCTGTGTCCCCGAAGACACAGCGGCCCAGGGCGCTGATATGATGGACAATTCCCCACTTCACCAAGCTGGTCTGTTCCTATGCAGACTGTGTGTCTGACCCTAGGCAGATGCTCGACAATCCCCTTGCCGCCTGGCTGCCCCTTCCCCGCAGCCCAGGCGGGCTCTTCGTCCCCATGTTGCCCCCCGCCGGATCCCCTGACTAGCTGGATTTCACACCTTCCCCTCCATCACCCTCGAGCGCCCAGCCCGGGCATCTTCCTGTGCCTCGCTATTAGAGGTCTCCTCACCTCCCCTGTTTCCCTGCCCTTCTCCCCCAAGCCCGTGCCACTCCACCCCACCACAACCAGTTGCGCATAGCTCCCTCCCCCTTTGATCACATTGCCATTCTTGACAGCTGCCAAGTGCCTGCAGATCATGTTCACCAGATGTGCCGACTCACCCCTGTCAGAGGGGTCACAAGGGGGCCAGCACAGCCGCGCCCGAGCGGGCCACTCATGGGTACCAGCGAGTCATCACATGCCAAACATGCCGTTCATCATGCTGGCAGCATACTTCATGGGCTTGACATCTGGGTGCGGGGCCGCCTCAAACTGGGTGAAGGCGGGCACCATGTCTTCGCCCTTGAACCGGATAAAGGCACCCTGGAGTTGTAAAGGGTGGGAGGGAACATGTCGAAGCAGGGTGATGATAATGAAGGACAGGGAGCAACAAGGCCCAGGCAGGTCATTCTTGGGCATGGTGTGCCAAGCGGGGGGGTCCCATGGCACATGGAGGCAGTGGGACAGGTAGGAACGCCCCCCTGTAAGCCCACTCCACACAGGCGCCCTGCACGGCATGAAGGGCACCGGCATGTCTGGACGGCACCCGGCACCTACTCCCCTCGCCACACCTTATTCCCCATCTGGTCGCAGTAGTTTGGCGCCGAGAAGATGGTGATGCAGTACCCCTGCGGCGGTTGGTGGGGGGGGGAAAGGAGGTTCCCCAGCACTGTCCAGAGTGGGCTCGGTGTGCAACCACCTTCCTTCTGGCCCCCGCCCCCACCCTCATGGCATGCGGGTGTAGCACGGGCAGGCCCCCCGCCGCTGCCCTCTCACCCCTACAACCTACTTTGGCACTCCTACACTACACACGTTTGTCTCCTCCTGCTTTCCATACCCCTCCCCACCCCCCTCCCCCTTCAACTCACGTCGTGTGCCACCTCATACCCCTCATCCTTGACCTCGTGGCTGCGGACCAGCAGGGACAGGCCGTTGTCCTGCAGGAAGGCGCGGGTGACGTCCGGGCCAAAGGCGATGCCGACGCCGCGCTTGTTGGGCTCGCGTCCCGGCGTGTCCTTGGGGTCGCTCCACAACATCTCGCACATGTGCCCCGCCTCCGGCGGCTCCCGGTAGCGCTGGATGGCTGCCAGCTCGTCCAGCCGCACGCCGTCGTCGGAGAAGAGGCCGCCGTGCAGGACGAGGACGGTGTCCCGCAGCACGTAGCCCAGCGGCAGCCAGCAGAAGGTCTCGCGGAAGACCTCCACCGCTGTGGGGCCGCACTTCTCGCGCACCTCGCCGTAGAAGCCGTAGATCAGGTTCATGGACTTGGCCTCGTGGTTGCCGCGCGTGAGGTGCATGGCGCCGGGGCACAGGCACTTGTGGGCTAGCAGGGTGAGCATGACCTCCATGCTCCAGGACCCGCGGTCCACGAAGTCGCCGTTGAAGAGGTAGGGGTTGGCCTCGGAGGGGGCGCCGCCCAGCTGGAAGATGCGGAGCAGGTCGAAGAACTGGCCGTGCGTGTCGCCGCAGACGGTGATGTGGGAGCCGGCGGGGACGTCCACGTGCACCAGCGAGGGCAGAGCCTTGAGCAGGCGCTGCGCCTCCAGCACAATCTGGGGTGCAGTCGGGAAGGGGGGGGGGGGGGCAAAGGGGGGGTGAGGACTGCGCCAAGGACCTGCATGCTGGCCAGCCAGGACGGCCCCTCAGTCTCAAGCTCAAGCGAGGGGGTGGGCACAGACTCCCCAGGACGCCCCCCTCCATCTCCCAGCACAGAGCAGGCGGGGAGGCAGCCTGGCTGCGGGGCAGTGTCCTGGGGGATTCCCCTTTGCAACTTCCTACCCCACACTCACCCACAGCACGTAGCGCCGGTGAAGAGTTTGGCCCCGCTTGAAGGCCTCCAGCATGCTCTCGATGAATTCCAGGTTTATGAAGTAGGCGCCGTTCTCGTCGGCTGTCGGGTTGAGGAATCAAGGGGGTGATGGGGAGGAGAAGGAGGGAGTGAGCTCAGGGATGCCCCCGTGTCAGGGGAACGCCATGCATGAACGCGACACAGTGAACCTTGGAGGGAGCTCCTTCACCATGTGGGACCTTCATGCATGCGGGTTTCATGACATCATTCCAACGGAGACACCTTAGCATGGACTGGCAACCAGAGTCTCCGTGCCAGCGGCACCCCAGCACAGTCACCCTGCCACTCCCAGCCAGTCTCAAAACCCAAAGTTCCACATACTGGGGAGGGCGGGCCCGCAGTAGCTGCTATCAATGGCGACGTCATCCAACACAATGGTATCGGAGACCGGCACGTCATTATCAGGCTGACTCAGCGCTTCTTCAAATCTTGCACGTTTCAATTGCTTCTCAGCCTCTGCGAGCTGTGCACACATGGGAACGAGGGAGGGAGGCAGTGAGCCGGGACCACCAGCTGCACTGCGGAGGGGCTGCAGACTCGCACCAACACTGTTGTCTGCCACACACAAAGCTCCCAGCCCAATGTACCTTCCTACGGAGGTCTGGATCACGGGGTGCCAATCTGGCAGCTGCTTTGAAATCACGCACAGCATCCTTGAAGTGAGCCAGGGCAAACGCTGCATCCCCTCGCCGGTAGTAGGCCTGCGGAAAGAGATCGGATGAGGGGGTGGGCAAAATGAGGTGATGCATGTCGACTCAATCTTCTCCACTTCATAAATCATCGTCCCGGACGGTCCACAGCAAGGCAGAGGTATTATGATCGTGTGGGTTTCGAACATACCCACCCCCCAATGTTACCTTGGCATATGTGGGATCCAGCTCGATGGCGGCACTGGCATCTGCCAGGGCAGACCCCAGGTTCTCAAGCCGCAGGTTGGCAAAGGCCCTGTTGCTCAGGTACACAGCATTCCGTGGATTGGCATCAATGGCCGCTGTGTATGCATCCACCGCTTCCTGGTAGTGCTTGGCTGCAGATCGGGAGGATGGTCGGCGTAAGTGGTCAAGCGCCGGCAGCCACCACAGGGGACAGTGCACGTACATCGCATCTACCTCCCACCTTTGAAGGCTTCATTTGCACGGTTCTTGTGATCCTCCGCAATCTGCTTGGAAGCCTCGGACACCTCGTGGTCAGCCAGTGTGAGGCCTGTCATGACTGTGCCCTGGTGATCCTGGCGAGTGCGGCCCCGATGGATCGCCGCCTCCTGGCATGTATCAAAGGATACTCAAAAGGCGAAGAGGGGACTGTCGTCGAGTGTGAGGTTTGATGTGCGCGACCACGATGGATGGGCGCTGGTCTCCGCGCGCAGGTGGGCGCGAAATCCTTTCTCCCATGACGAGGGGTGCGGAGGGTGGTCAAGGAGCGTGCGGAGCCACCCTGCAGCTGTAATTTGGTATTTAATTGCTGTTGAACAACATTCCGTGCAACTGCCTTCGGGCACGGCGTACTTTTGCTGCCACTCCCTCTTCGAAACAGGAAGATTCCACAATGGTGAGCCGGTGCGGGTGGACTCGCCGAGCTCCCCAGCTGTCGTTGTGTGCTAGAGTTGACACCAAGAATCACCCATGTGCAGACTCGGGGCAACCAGCGCGACATCGATCGGGCCCGGGCTCAGAAGCGCAAGGAGCAGCTTGCCAAGGGGAACCGGGACGACAATTTGACACCCCTACAGCGCAAAGAGAGGTGGGCTGGCTGTTTGAGCAAAACACTCGCGTAAATCTGCCTGATGTCATTAGTTTGTACCGGAAGTTCTGTTTCGAGCCCAAAGATATACAATGTGTCACCGCGTCACTCCCATGTGCAGGGACGCCAAGGCCCTCGCAGAGAAGCTCGCGAAGAAGGCGGCAGCAGATGCCAAAAAATAGCACTGCCATGCCTGGACACCATGCATGCACCGTGACCCCTTATTTAGGAGATGTACGCCCTCTTGAGCTCCGAGTATTCGCACCGGTAACCTGAGCGGTGATGGTTGAGGAGAGGGGGATATCTAGAATGTGAGGAAGGGTGTGGTGGATTTAAGAACTGGCACAAGTGTCGGTGGGATGGCAAAGCCCTGTTGTCCAGTGCCAGGCCCTGGCAGGCTCTCCCAGAGTACCAAGGGAGCGCTTCATGACGCCCACGACTTTTCATGGCATGATAATGCTTTGACAAGGTGCCTCACGCGCACGTGAGCGAGCACCCGAGGTGGTGCAGGGCCGTCGGGACCGGCGCTGCCAGCCACACCCCTGCTTCCAGGACTGGCCCTCCCCTCGTCGATTCATCCTTACCGGTCACAGGGCAGGTGACCACACCGTCGTCGCGGTCGGCCTGCGCCCTCAGCGCCGCCTGGCCGTAAACATGTCCGTTCTTCATCACCAGGGGTGGATTGTGCTCGTCCATGGGGACGTGGCTGATGGCGCAAATGAGGTGGGAGTGGCTGTGCTTGGCGCGGGGAAGGCCCTCGGCCAGCCCGGCGTAGGTGGCGAGGTGCAGCGGGTCGGCCCGGCTGCGCTGGACGTGCAGGGGCGCGTTCAGCGCGGCCAGCCCTGCCTGCGGATAGCCATGGGGGGTGCTGGGGTGTCGGGGTCGCTGGCACACGAGGCACGACAGCGAACTGGCCCTGCGGGGGCACCCCACGCCGAGTGCGGCTGCGAGGGGTGAAACCAAGGCACGGCTGCCGCACCCCGTCCCTTGACAACTCCTCACCCCCTCCGCTCTGCCCCCATTTCCCCACCTGGAGGTGGATGGTGAGGGGCGAGATAGGGGGCAGGGAGTACAGGCGGTACACCTCCTGTTTCAGCGCCTCCACCAGCTCCTGCCACTGCACATGGGGCGGGTGGGTGGAGGGGCGATGGTGCGGCGCGCAGAACCCTGGGATTCGCCTCATACAAGGGCTCGCAGGTCGAGCAGACTCCCCTCGAGGTATGGGGTTTCCCCGCAGGCTCCATCAGATACACGCCTGGTGAAGCAGCGTGGCCCCTACCTCCCTCTCTCTCAATGCCGCCCGCACCTGGCTGTCGGCGAAGAGGCCCGTGCCGCGGCGCGCCCGCGCATCCCCCGGGAACGCCAGCGTGGCGGCGGCGGCCTGCATCTCGCCCATCTGCGTCGCCGCCCAGGGCGCCAGGTGCCGGCGCGCATACCGGATGGCAGCGTGCGTGTCGCCTCCCCGCACCAGCTCTATGAACTCCTGCGGATGAGTGGGGGGGGGTGCACATGGCGAGGGGTTGGTGGGATCGAGGCGCCCGACCGCGCGCCCGTTGGATGGGGGCGCGCCTGTGCCGATGGGCACCCCACCGCATGGGCCACTGGGTGCGAGAGCGCGTCGGCACCCATGCCCTGGGGCCGAGACCGGAGCCACTGCTCCCCGAGTCTCTCCTGCTCCAACCCCATGCCACCAACCTGCTTGCGCAGCCTGAAGACCAGGGAGGAGCGGGCCTTGGCCAGCCTAGCCTCATGGACCCGGCACCAGGCCAGCGCCTCTGTGCATCGGTGCTGCTCCAGCCCGGCGATAACGCTCTGGATGGGCTGGAAGATGTGCCCATCTGCCACCTCCTCGCTCTGAGTGTGTGGGAGGGGGCCAGTGAGGGAGGGAGGTATGTGTGTGTGTATGGGGGGGGGGTTCCCTAGGCAGACGAAGAAGAGCTGTCCAGGGGATCAGGCGGGCACGCCGGCCACACCAGTGTGCGCGTGCGGCCGGCGCATCCCGCCCTGGACGCGGTCCTCCACGTGAGCCCCCGTCCGGGGCATCCTCAGGGAGGCTTGGCTACCGAGTTGGGCCCTCTCCCAATCCCCTTTGCCGCACGGCCTGCTCACCCCCGGCCCCGATGTCTGGATGAGGTGCAGGGCGGACTGGCGGTACCCGCGGCGCAGGAGGTAGTCGATGACCAGCCGGTTGATTCGCGGCCGGTTCCAGTCGATGAGGCGGCCCGCCTCCGGCTGGCCCACGCGCCTCAGGTATCTGACGCGGGCGAGCAGGCGGGACAGATCCCCCCTCTCGGCCTCGGCTATGCCCTCCAGCTGCGCCACGGGGGCAGTGGCATCAGTGGGTGTGTCTACAGAATGCAGCCAGGACTGGAGAGGGAAAAGGAGCCTGCCATGCATACCGATATTGGGGCCCCTACAAGGATCTCTCGTTACACCAGAACCCCTGTTAACCCCAACACCTTGGTTTTGAGGTGCTGCAGGGCGGATGCCATATCCTGGAGCTTCTGGGCCCCGTCAGTGCCCTCCGCGAGGGTGGGGAGGGCTGCCAGGATCTTGTAGATGTCGTCCAAGACATACTTGCGCTCCCTTGTCGTCCGCTTGAGGGTCTCGTATGGCACCTGATTCCAAGTAGACGGGCATAATCGCATGCTGTGGCCGTGCAAGAGATGTCGACACATCCAGTGACCAACATGGCATAGCCACGCACGTCTCACCTTGATGAGCGAGCCCTCGAGCACCTCCGACATCGTCCACCCGTCTCAGCTCCTTACGACCACATCTGCATGTTTTGCAAGCAATCCCAAATCATACCTCCTGCATGTTGGATCGAAGGATCACGACAATCCTGCACAAGGCTCCAGCTCCGAGTCCCGGGCAGAACCCTGCTCTGTGAGAATCCGGGAACAGAGCTGTGGATTCCCTCATTTCCAAAATTGAGTTCCAAGGAGGGCCGGACAGGCCCCCGCAACCAAAAACCGCGTCTCACCCACACCACTGCCATCGACGGTCACAAGGTGGTGCAAAATTTCAACATCTATATATGCTAGTCGTGCCCTGAGGACGTGTGTGGGAGGCCCTTGGATCCCAGCCTGCTCCCCTTCCGGCCGGGGCGTCAGGTCTGCCATACACCTGCTGGCACCATCCGGGGACTGCGAGGCAGCTAGTGGGAACAGGCTCTTTCAGGATCAGGAGTAGCCGTCGCTCGAGTTGGACAAGTCCATTCGCTCCAGTATGAAGTTTCAGCAACTGCTGCTCGTGGCAGCACTGTTGGTCGCTTCAGGACCCGTGTCTGCCTACTACCTGCCGGGGACGTATCCTCAGGAGTTTGCGAAAGGGAGCAAGATCGAAGGTGTGATGGTGCGGCGCCATGTTCGTGGCCGAGACTCCTACGTCCCTGTCCTGCGATCCCGAGCCCGGGCATCAACGTGGGACATCGCTCCCTTCACCTGCAGTGGAGGCGAACTCTCTGGTGTCATCGGAAACGGAGATTCCGTACCGATACTACCGGATGCCGTTCTGCAAGCCTGTCGGTGGCGTCAAGAAGGCCTCCAGCACTGTAAATCCGGGCACCATACTTCTGGGCATACGCATCAACAACTCGCCCTACAGCTTCTCCGTCATGGTGGGTGGAGGATGTTTAAGCCAGTGGGGTGTATCGATCACGGGAGCTCCTCATCTTGGGAATTTCCCTGCTCTGTCCCTCCTCATGTCGCTCCACCGAGAGCTGCCCCACCATGAATGCCTGCCAGCCCCAGCCTATATGCTCTAATAAGTCCCTGGTCACAGCCCTCCCACCGCTGTCACACCTGACATCCCCTCTCTCCTGATGTTGCTGACCTGCAGGAAGAGACCAAGACCAAGGTGGTCTGCCAGGGCGAGGACTACCCCGGCGGGGCTTACACCGCGCTCACCTCCAAGGAGGTCAAGGTGGGCGGTGCATGTGGATGCGTCTGGCCTCAGGTCGCAGGGTCCTGCATGGCCAGGGCATGCATGCCGCACCCAGACCAAGTCCCTCCTTCCAGGGGGACTGTACCAGGCGCTCCCTCTGGGCAGTTGCACCCGTCCTCACCGGCTCAACAGCAAGTGCCCTGGGAATTCACTGCAGACCCTCAAGGAGAAGATCCGGGATCAGTACCGGGTGCGCCTCATCCTGGACAACCTGCCCATCACCACCTACGACCTGGAGCTGGACCCCGAGTCCGGTGGGCATGGGAGGGTCGGGGATGCCTGGGCCCGCGCCGCCTGTGGTGATGTGGGGCAGGGCAGTTTGGGGTCACGAGTGGAGTGTGAGCTGCGAGGTAGACTGGCTTCGTGGGCGAACCCCAGCACGTAGCCTGCCACCGGAGCTCGACCCGGCTGCCCCCATGCATCCCCAGTCCGCCCCGGCTACGAGGTTGGCTACAAGCTGAAGGACAAGTACTACGTGAACAACCACCTCATGTTCAAGGTGCTGGTACATGAGTCCGACGGGCGCTACTCCCGCGTGGCCGGCGACGCCAGCCTGGAGGCTGCCGCTGCCTCAGATGTGCGCCAGGGGGGGGGTGTGCACTGCAGGAGATGAAGGAGGAGGGGGGGGGGGGAATAGAGGTGTGTTGGGCTGCATGCTGGGACGTTGGGCATGGGCGCTGGGGCCTGGGAGCAGCTGTGTCGGCGCCCGTTGTCGGCAAGCAGGAGGAGCACGATCGAGCGGCGAGGGGCTGTGCAGG